AGATTCACCTGTTAGAGCTCTTCCACTTCCTATGGGACCAGTCAGCGGAGCAGAGAACGAGAGCCAGTGCCCAGGCACAGCCCACAGCTCCTGGAGGTCGTCTGAGGAGACCTGGAGATGCAAATCTCACCTCTTTGGAACCCCAACTACCCAGGGGCAGAGGAGCTCCAAGGGGATCGACTGGCTCTGCCGGGTCTGTTGACCCAACTGGGAGGGACCCTTCAAAAACTGCCAAGGAGACCCAAACATTCCGAGGCGGGCGGGGCGGTGCCAGTGACGGACCCCCCAACAGCCCCACCCACCCCACTGCCACCCACCAGACCTCACAGCACCCACTGCTACAACACACCAAGCCTTCGCAGGCTGGCGCCCCTCCATGCTCAACTTCAGGACGCAAGCTTTGAGGATGGCACGGGCCTGAACCCGGACACGGCATCCTCGCTCCTGGAGGCTGGGATGGGCATGTTCGTCTCCCTGCGATGCACACCCCCGTCCTGCCGTACCCACAGAGATGGAGCCTTGACCAGCTCCCTGTGCTGGCGCGTCGGGCAGGCAAATCCACACAGCTCCGTAGCAACAGAAGTGAAATTAAAGCAGATCCCACCGGCAAAATACGCAGGAGGGCTCAGCGCATACACAATTCTTGTGCGGAAACACTCTTGTTTTAAAGGAATCAGCAGTAGCTATTTTGTGTAGGCCCAAGATGAAAGGTAGAGAGAAAGACGAAAAGCAAAAGCAGATGAGACCAAGGAACAGGGTCAAAACCTGCCCCAACTGTATGTTAGACTCTGTGTTAGAAAAGACCTCAGAAACTTTATTGTCCCAAATGAAATGATGAAGTCCACACAGGAGAAACAAGAAGTCTCTTTGCAATTCTCTGGCACTCCACACAGGTGAAGTCCAAATGGCCATTAGTGGCTTGTCTTGCTCTGGTCTAGTTTCGTCTCAGGCACACCTAGAAAGGGGCTTGATCAGCTGAGGGGATGGACTCTCAGTGTTGTGTGTATGGAGGGAAGGGGTTTGCAGCACAAAACGCGCTCCAGATGCATATTGTCTCCCTCTTATGGCTGTTCTTCCGTGCTAGCAGGATTTCCACGTTGGGCTCCAGACTTTGGCCGGTCCTGGTCAGAGAGAGGTGAAACTCTGCCTCTCTGCTGCGCATCGTATCACTCGCATCTGTTAATGCAGCGTGGGTGCATCCGAGCGGGTGGCGTGCGTGTCCACAGAGCGCCTGGAGCCTTTTGCTCTGGCTGAGCGCTTACCCTTGGAGCTGTAATTAGGTTTCACAGAATCATAGAATGGTCAGGGTTGGAAGTAACCTCTGGAGATCACCTAGTCCAACCCTCCCGCCAGAGCAGGGTCACCTACAACAGGTTGCACAGGGTGGCGTCCAGGCGGGTTTTGAATGTCTCCAGAGGGGGAGACTCCACCACCTCTCTGGGCAGCCTGTTCCAGTGCTCCACTACCCTCAAAGGAAAGAAGACCCAAACATTCCAAGGTGGGCGGGGCGGTGCAAGTGAGGGACCCCCCAACAGCCACACCCACCCCACTGCCACCCACCAGACCTCACAGCACCCACTGTTACAACACACCAAGCCTTCGCAGGCTGACGCCCCTCCGTGCTCAACTTCAGGACGCAAGCTTTGAGGATGGCACGGGCCTGAACCCGGACACGGCATCCTCGCTCCTGGAGGCTGGGATGGGCATGTTCGTCTCCCTGCGATGCACACCCCCGTCCTGCCGTACCCACAGAGATGGAGCCTTGACCAGCTCCCTGTGCTGGCACGTCGGGCACGCAAACCCACACAGCTGCCTAGCAGCAGAAGGGAAATAAAAGTGGATCCCACTGGCAAAATACGCAGGAGGGCTGAGCGCATACAGCATTCTTGTGTGGAAACACTCTCGTTTTAAAAGAATCAGCAGTAGCTATTTTGTGTAGGCCCAAGATGAAAGGTAGAGAGAAAGACGAAAAGCAAAAGCAGGTGAGCCCAAGGAACAGGGTCAAAACCTGCCACATCTGTATGTTAGACTCTGTGTTAGAAAACACCTCAGAAACTTTATTGTCCCAAATGAAATGATGAAGTCCACACAGGAGAAACAAGAAGTCTCTTTGCAATTCTCTGGCACTCCACACAGGTGAAGTCCACATGGCCATTAGTGGCTTGTCTTGCTCTGGTCTAGTTGACTCTCAGGCACACCTGGAAAGGGGCTTGATCAGCTGAGGGAATGGACTCTCAGTGTGGTGTGTATGTAGGGAAGGGCTCTGCAGCACAAAAGGCGCTCCAGATGCATATTGTCTCCCTCTTATGGCTGTTCTTCCATGCTAGCAGGATTTCCACGTTGGGCTCCAGACTTGGGCCGATCCTGGTCAGAGAAAGGTGAAACTCTGCCTCTCTGCTGCGCATCGTATCACTCGCATCTGTTAATGCAGCGTGGGTGCATCCGAGCGGGTGGCGTGCGTGTCCACAGAGCGCCTGGAGCCTTTTGCTCTGGCTGAGCACTTACCCTTGGAGCTGTAATTAGGTTTTCTCAGTCTAACTCTGTTCTCGGGGTCCTGGTGGTTCCCTGTGCCCCGGTACAGTGCCTCCTCCAGCTCTGCCTGTGCCTGACAGCTGAGCTGAGACAGGGTGATTTTTGTAGCTCTGCTACAATAGAACACTCACAACATGCTTGACTTTTCTATCATACTTCATTGAACTTATGATTATAAAGGAAACTTACAAGAAAGCAATTTAATAAACAACAAGTTAACACAATATACTTATCCATAGTTGTCACACCCCATACACAAGAGAGGGGGGAAGTGACTCAGTTTCGCAAATCCCAAACAGTGTGGACTAAGGCGAGACAACTCTCAAGGTCCGTAGAAAAACATTTATTAGATTCCCACAGTGATGAATATATCTCTTAACTACATCCACGTAATTGGTTAGGTATATAACAAATTATGGCAAATGGTAAAACAAAGTATGGCAAGTGGTAAAGAACGCTTGGAATAATTCAAAAAGAGTTACACA